TGTTTGCATCAGCATAATTTAATCTAATCTTTGATAGAGTGCGCTGTTCGTGAGCTAAGTGGAATAATTTGAATTTCTACGTATATAATTGCCTTATTCTGTCTGTGTGAAGTTCACTGTGTGAAGTTCACGGATATATTTTGGTCATCAACGCGCGCATCATCATTATGATCATTATCATTATCTAATGATAATAATAATAATTATTATTATTATCTACTTATATATTTGCCTTATTCTGTCTGTTTGTCTGTATGTCTGAAGCTCACGGATAGAATGCGCGCCATTGGCTGCCAGCGAATACGTGGCCTCCCTGCCCCCCTCTAGACAACCCTGTTATCAGCTGTGTGATACATACACCTGTCTATAGCGGCCACTCTAGACAACCCTGTTATCAGCTGTGTGATACATCCACCTGTCTATACAGACCACCCTGTCTATAGCGGTCACTTTAGGCAACCCTGTTATCATCAGTGTGATACATACACCTGTCTATACAGACCACCCTGTCTATAGCGGCCACTCTAGACAACCCTGTTATCAGCAGTGTGCTACATCCACCTGTCTAAACAGACCACCCTGTCTATAGCGGCCACTCTAGACAACCCTGTTATCAGCTGTGTGATACATCCACCTGTCTATACAGACCACCCTGACTATAGCGACCACTCTAGACAACCCTGTTATCAGCTGCCTGTCTATACAGACCACCCTGTCTATAGCGGTCACCTTAGGCAACCCTGTTATCATCAGTGTGTTACATTCACCTGTCTATACAGACCACTCTGTCTATAGCGGTCACCTTAGGCAACCCTGTTATCAGCAGTGTGATACATCCACCTGTCTATACAGACCACCCTGACTATAGCGACCACTCTAGACAACCCTGTTATCAGCTGCCTGTCTATACAGACCACCCTGTCTATAGCGGTCACCTTAGGCAACCCTGTTATCATCAGTGTGTTACATTCACCTGGCTATACAGACCACCGTCTATAGCGGTCACCTTAGGCAACCCTGTTATCAGCAGTGTGATACATCCACCTGTCTATACAGACCACCCTGTCTATAGCGACCACTCTAGACAACCCTGTTATCAGCTGTGTAATACATCCACCTGTCTATACAGACCACCCTGTCAATAGCGACCACCCAAGACAACGGTTTTAAAATATATTCGCACTCGGGTAAACCCCGGGCGTTGCCCGGGCCATTCGTCTAGTCTACTTATATAATTGCCTTATTCTGTCTGTGTGAAGTTCACTGTGTGAAGTTCACGGATAAATTTTGGTCATCAACGCGCGCATCATCATTATGATCATTATCATTATCTAATGATAATTATTTATCTATATATATAAAAATGAATGTATGTGTGTCTGTTTGTTTGTTTGTTTGTCCTTTATGCCTGACCAAACCACTCATTGGATCGCCATGAAACTTTGGGAAGTTATTTAGTATAGTACTGGGAAGGTTTCTAGCAAATAAAATTTTGAAATAACTTTTCGCCTAGAAATAATCAAGATAAATATTCTAATTTATCTGTTATAATTCAACAATCTGCTCTAAATATTATCATGATGATACGATGATTTTGTAATGTAGAAAATTAGGAAAGACAAAATTCAGGATGACACGGCAATTTATTTGAGACAAGAATAATGATACAATTCAAAGGCAAGATACTATTCCTTTAACTTCCAATTACCGAGGGAACCAATTAATATTGATTTTATTCAACTTATCGAATATTTTTTAAGGGACCGGGAAAAAATGTTCACTTTATCGAGAGATTCATTAAACAAACCTTTACTCGGGTAAAACCCGGGCGAAGCCGGGTACATCTATACAAGAATAATGATACAATTCCAAGGCAAGATATTATTCCTTTAACTTCCAATTACCGAGGGAACCAATTAATATTGATTCTATTCAACTTATCGAGTATTTTTCAAGGGACCGGGAAAAAATGTTCACTTTATCGAGAGATTCGTTAAACAAACCTTTACTCGGGTAAAACCCGGGCGAAGCCGGGTACATCCATACAAGAATAATGATACAATTCCAAGGCAAGATACTATTCCTTTAACTTCCAATTACCGAGGGAACCAATTAATATTGATTTTATTCAACTTATCGAGTATTTTTCAAGGGACCGGGAAAAAATGTTCACTTTATCGAGAGATTCGTTAGACAAACTTTTACTCGGGTAAAACCCGGGCGAAGCCGGGTACGTCCGCTAGTTTATTATATATCTACTTATATAATTGCCTTATTCTGTCTGTGTGAAGTTCACTGTGTGAAGTTCACGGATAGATTTTGGTCAGAATGGATAAAATAAAAAAAGTGTCAAGGGATGGGAATCGAACCCACGACCTACCGCTTAACGGGCAAATGCCATGACCACTAGGCTACCCTGGACAAATTTTTCCGTTCATAAAGTTAATATATAAATGAAAAAAAAAATCAACATGATGAAATCTTTATGAAAATTCACATTTTTATTTTATATTTTCAAGACACATACAGTTTGGGGCGGGACGTTTCACAAGAGAGACATCCACGGCGCCAATTTATAATTGTAACGAATAGTGTTTGAATAAAACATTTAATGGGTAAACCCGGGCGTTGCCCGGGTCATTCGTCTAGTATATATATATATATAAAATTGAATGTATGTCTGTCTGTCTGTCTGTACTCTATAGATTCAAAAACCATACATCCAATCGCCGTAAAATTTCGGGATATTATTAGGTATAGATGGAAATTTTGCCGGGAGGAAAATGATCTAAAGAGACAAGGGTCGCCTCTCCCGTCAAAATAGACGTCTAAAACAGACGCCATCTATTGACCGTCGCCGCAACTAGCGGCCTCGGGTCGGTGACAAAGCCACAACACCAGCTTTGGCAAACTGAAAAGCGTCCACCTAGAGACCATGGTTTCGGGCTGATGGCCCTCGTCAGTCTAGGGCGGACTTTATTCCATGAGATCCACACGGGATCTAATGGAAACTTGACAATCTGCCAAATATTTTGGCCATAGATATGGCCCAGCCACTTTGCCAGCAAAACACCTCTTTGGCAGATTGTCAAGATTCCATTAGATCCCGTGTGGATCTCATGGAATAAAGTCCGCCCTAGACTGACGAGGGCCATCAGCCCGAAACCATGGTCTCTAGGTGGACGCTTTTCAGTTTGCCAATGCTGGTGTTGTGGCTTTGTCACCGACCCGAGGCCGCTAGTTGCAGCGACGGTCAATAGATGGCGTCTGTTTTAGACGTCTATTTTGACTGGAGAGGCGACCCTTGTCTCTTTAGATCATTTTCCTCCCGGCAAAATTTCCATCTATATTTTGGTCATAGATATGGCCCAGCCACTTTGCCAGCAAAACACCTCTTTGGCAGATTGTCAAGATTCCATTAGATCCCGTGTGGATCTCATGGAATAAAGTCCGCCCTAGACTGACGAGGGCCATCAGCCCGAAACCATGGTCTCTAGGTGGACGCTTTTCAGTTTGCCAAAGCTGGTGTTGTGGCTTTGTCACCGACCCGAGGCCGCTAGTTGCGGCGACGGTCAATAGATGGCGTCTGTTTTAGACGTCTATTTTGACGGGAGAGGCGACCCTTGTCTCTTTAGATTATTAGGTATATCACCGGGAAGGTTTTTGAAAAATAATTTCATGAATATCTTGAATATCCTTAGAGTTATTTGCAGCTTTGTAGATTTAACTCGCAAGCAGCGCCCCCATTGTGACGATGATAACAAGTTTTCTTATCACTAAGTTTGTTATCTTAAATATTATTTATCAAAAGTAAGATGATCTCAGGATGACACGGCAATTTATTTGAGACAAGAATAATGATACAATTCCAAGGCGAGGATACTATTCCTTTAACTACCAATTACCGAGGGAACCAATTAATATTGATTTTATTCAACTTATCGAATATTTTTCAAGGGACCGGGAAAAAATGTTCACTAGATAAAACTATGATTTTATAATGTAGAAAATTAAGAAAGACAAAATTCAGGATGACACGGCACACAGGGACCGGGAAAAAATGTTCACTTTATCGAGAGATTCAAATTTACGAGTTTCAAATTATCAAAATATATCTTTTTTTAAAATAAGTTTTTAGAGAATTGTTCTAACAAATGTTCGCTAGACAAACCTTTACTCGGGTAAAACCTCGGGCGAAGCCGGGTACATCCGCTAGTCTATATATATAAAATTGAATGTCTGTCTGTCTGTACTCTATAGATTCAAAAACCATACATCCAATCGCCGTGAAATTTTGGGATATTATTAGGTATATAACCGGGAAGTTGTTTGAAAAATAATTTCATGAATATCTTGAATATCCTTAGAGTTATTTGCAGATTTGTAGATTTAACTCGCAAGCAGCGCCCCCATTGTGACGATGTTAACAAGTTTTCTTATCACTAAGTTTGTTATCTTAAATATTATTTATCAAAATTAAGATTATCTCAGGATGACACGGCAATTTATTTGAGACAAGAATAATGATACAATTCAAAGGCGAAGATACTATTCCTTTAACTTCCAATTACCGAGGGAACCAATTAATATTGATTTTATTCAACTAATCGAGTATTTTTCAAGGGACCGGGAAAAAATGTTCACTTTATCGAGAGATTCGTTAGACAAGCCTTTACTCGGGTAAAACCTGGGCGAAGCCGGGTACGTCCGCTAGTCCTTCCTTATATACCTTAGTCATTCCTTATATATCCTATGTATATAAAAATGAAATGCGAAAACGATGTTTGTTATCGCATCACGCAAAATCTACTGACTCAATCATTATGGAATTTCGCATGTAGGTAGCTGAAGATTTCGTTTAACATATAGGCTATTCAAAAAACTAAAAAAGTTAATGTGCTTTTTTTTTTAAATAAAAAACCAAAAAGCGTTAGTTCCAGTCTTTTACCGCTAGGGCGCAGCACTGGTCGCGACGATAAATGAATTTGATTTTTTTTAAAGCATCGGTGGTTCAGTGGTAGAATGCTCGCCTACCACGCGGGCGGCCAGGGTTCGATTCCCGGCCGATGCATTTTTTTTTTTTAACAATTTTTAAAACTCATTTATATTATATCTTCTATATAAATGGAAATTTCATAAGTGGTGTTCGCTAAAAACTTTCGTTACAATGCATCAATTCCGACCAAATTTTCAACATTTATGTAAAACGAGATGGAGCAGGTTTTGCTTAACATCAAAATATTTTTCCTAACTTTAAAATACATAACTTTGCTGTTATCGATAAAATACAAAAAAATTCAACAAAGTTAATTTTATTTATATATAAATACAAAAAAAATCAGCAATTCATTCAACTCAATCTAAAAAAATATTCAAAACAAGCAATTTTAAGATAACACCATATGTAAAACAGTCGGCCAAGAAAACAACAACGATATTACATCTTTCTCACATATTCACACACAATCTTGATTAATAATTAAAACTAATCTTTAGCATTGTTTATTATACTTCATAATATATAATATTCGTTAGGCAAACTTTCACTCGGATAAAACCCGGGCGAAGCCGGGTACACATCCGCTAGTATATATATAAAAATGAATGTATGTGTGCGTGTCCTTTATGCCTGACCAAACCACTCATTGGAACGCCATGAAACTTTGGGAAGTTATTTAGTATAGTACTGGGAAGGTTTCTAGCAAATAAAATTTTTGAAATAACTTTTCGCCTAAAAATAATCAAGATAAATATTCTAATTTATCTGTTATAATTCAACAATCTGCTCTAAATATTATCGTGATGATACGATGGTTTTGTAATGAAGAAAATTAGGAAAGACAAAATTCAGGATGACACGGCAATTTATTTGAGACAAGAATAATGATACAATTCCAAGGCAAAATACTATTCCTTTAACTTCCAATTACCGAGGGAACCAATTAATATTGATTTTATTAAACTTAATCGAGTATTTTTCAAGAGACCGGGGGAAAATGTTCACTTTATCGAGAGATTCGTTAGACAAACCTTTACTCGGGTAAAACCCGTGTGAAGCCGGGCACGTCCGCTAGTTTGAATATATAGCTTTAATAATTGATTTATATATTTTTTAAAATAGCCTATCGTCTTCCCCGTATTTTACCTATGTATGGAAATTTTGGTTTGAATTAGTGAACTACTGCGAATTTGTATACCGGACATACAAACAAACAAACATACAAACATTGATTTTTATATATATAGATATAGATATGGATATGTGTGATATTTTAGAGAAAGAATTTAATTACTGGAATATAAAATATATTAAAATATTTATGTATTGACTTTTAGCAGCTTTTTGTTTGTATAAAATGTGAAAGTGGTTTGTAAAAAGCAAAACTATATTAACAATTATGATAAAGATAATTAACAATTAAATTAGAAACAAGAAATATCCATCATTAGAATTACTATATTTCAATATTGCAAACTCACATATTTTGAAAACAAATCAATTTGGATAAATGAATAAGGTAAACTTTTAAAAGCAAAATATCTATATTTGGAAAATTGAATAATAAATACAACAACTAATATTCGGGGAATAAGGTGTGACACATAAGGGAAAGAATAAGGAAAATTTTTGTATTTAGATAGTTATGTATATTTCAGCGTATTTGAAGAGGATTGCTTAAAACTTTACAACTAAAATCTGTTAGTGTATTATCTATAAACAACGTGTGATCAATAATTTCCAGGAATGAGATTGAATCACGTAAAATATTCACAATAATGAAATAATTTTATAAGGATCTTATAGATAAAACATTTATCAATACGTAGAGAAAAAAAATGATCACACAGAGGCACGCGTTCACGTTTTTTCGCTAAGTAATTTAGATGAGAATTTTTTTTTCAAAAAGAATAAATTTACTTAACAATATTTACATATTATAAAATAGGTAAAAAGTTTCAATATTTTCTCGTACGCATTTTAATATATAAAGTATTAATGGTCTTTATATTCTAAAGATGTGTGCTAAATTCTGGTTCAAAGTTCATTCTCTTTGGTTGGGGTGTGTACCATTTTCTGGATCACTGATTCTTTCATTTTGGGATTGAATGGTGTGAATTTCTGGCATTTGAGGAGGAGAATTTCTGTGTCTTCGGTAGGGATGCGTACGAATTTCTGGCCCACGAATCAAAGTTACGCGCATTTGGAGAATTGGTCTATAAATTCCTGTACCTCTAGTAGAATGACGGGCAGCTTCAAAGGGTTCCTGTCCATTATTAGAATTTATAACATCGGGAACACGGACCGTGTCGAAATCCTCGGCCCCACGAACATTATAAACGATTCTCTCAAATTTTCCGCGACAAATCGGGCAACGATGTCGTCGTTTGGCGGCTTCTTTCAAACATTCCAAACAGAACTGATGTTGGCAACATTCAGGGAATGCTCTTTCTTTGATATCGTCCAAACAGATTGAGCATTTGTCTAAAAGAGTGGCTCCAAAGTAATCAACTTCCAATCTTTTTGCATTTGAATTTCCCATGCTTATAATCTACAATAAAAGTATTTTAAAATACTTACAAAAAGATACCACAAACCTTCAGAAGGTAGTAAAAAAACAAAACAAATGTAAGCGTTGGTATTAAAAATACAATATGATGATCTTCCATTATTAAGGTGTAAAAATAATCTGTGTTTTTAATCATTATAATTATGTTTTTATAATTATGATTATATGTATTTAATTATAATTATATTTGAAAAAAGTAAAAATCAATATCAGGTAAAAAGTTTCTTAAGAGTAAAAGAAACTTTTTATTGATTTTTCAAATAATATTTGGGTAACTATGGCTCACATAATTATATTTAATTGTAATTATGTATTTATATCTATATATATAAAAATGAATGTATGTCTGTTTGTTTGTTTGTTTGTTTGTTTGTTTGTCCTTTATGCCTGACCAAACCACTCATTGGATCGCCATGAAACTTTGGGAAGTTATTTAGTATAGTACTGGGAAGGTTTCTAGCAAATAAAATTTTTGAAATAACTTTTCGCCTAGAAATAATCAAGATAAATATTATAATTTATCTGTTATAATTCAACAATCTGCTCTAAATATTATCATGATGATACGATGATTTTGTAATGTAGAAAATTAGGAAAGACAAAATTCAGGATGACACGGCAATTTATTTGAGACAAGAATAATGATACAATTCAAAGGCACTATTCCTTTAACTTCCAATTACCGAGGGAACCAATTAATATTGATTTTATTCAACTTATCGAGTATTTTTCAAGGGACCGGGAAAAAATGTTCACTTTATCGAGAGATTCGTTAAACAAACCTTTACTCGGGTAAAACCCGGGCGAAGCCGGGTACATCCATACAAGAATAGATTCAAAAACCATACATCCAATCGCCGTGAAATTTTGGGATATCATTAGGTATATCACCGGGAAGGTTTTTGAAAAATAATTTCATGAATATCTGGAATATCCTTAGAGTTATTTGCAGATTTGTAGATTTAACTCGCAAGCAGCGCCCCCATTGTGACGATGATAACAAGTTTTCTTATCACTAAGTTTGTTATCTTAAATATTATTTATCAAAAGTAAGATTATCTCAGGATGACACGGCAATGTGACACGGGAAAAAATGTTCACTAGATAAAACTATGATTTTCTATATGATATAAAAAGCCAACAATGAAGAGTGAATGTAATATAAAAAGCCAACAATGAAGAATGAATGTAAGATAAAAAGCCAACAATGAAGAGTGAATGTAAGATAAAAAGCCAACAATGAAGAATGAATGTAAGATAAAAAGCCAACAATAAAGAGTGAATGTAAGATAAAAAGCCAACAATGAATAGTAAATGTAATATAAAAAGCCAACAATGAAGAATGAATGTAAGATAAAAAGCCAACAATGAAGAGTAAATATAATATAAAAAGCCAACAATGAAGAATGAATGTAAGATAAAAAGCCAACAATGAAGAGTAAATATAATATAAAAAGCCAACAATGAAGAGTGAATGTAAGATAAAAAGCCAACAATGAAGAGTGAATGTAATATAAAAAGCCAACAATGAAGAATGAATGTAAGATAAAAAGCCAACAATGAAGAGTAAATCTCTATCTATCTATATATATAAAATTGAAATAATATTATCATGCATATAGAAAAAAATGATTATATGCCTCTTCTTTATGCCGGACCAAACTACTCATTTCATCGACATTTTTGAAAGTAAAACAGTGTAAACGGTATTAAATATGTATAATGGAACAATGGCTTAAAATATAATAGAAAGTGAGCTGAATGAAGACAAAAAAAAAATGTTAAGAATTCCCTATGAATTGAAATGAAGTGATTTTGGATATAAAATATAAAAAAAAAACTCGATTGATACACATTTAAAATGGTTAAAATGGCATTTATTAAGCCAAACAGTGTGAAAAAGTAGATACAGTAGAGCTTCCATTGAGAGGATGCCTAAAATCGTAGCTTAAACCGTCTCTCCGAGAGGCAGTCTCATATTAAAGGTCTATTAGAGATTCTTTAATATCAATTAGAACCTCCAATGAGAGACCACCTACAGGAGAAACAAGTTGAGTCATGTTTTTGGGTGGTCTTTCTTAAGAGACTCTATTTACATATATTAAAATCAACATTTTCTTACTGTTACGTTTAATTACTGCTAATCTATATATATAAAATTGAATGTCTGTCTGTCTGTACTCTATAGATTCAAAAACCATACATCCAATCGCCGTGAAATTTTGGAATATTATTAGGTATATCACCGGGAAGGTTTTTGAAAAATAATTTCATGAATATCTTGAATATCCTTAGAGTTATTTGCAGATTTGTATATTTAACTCGCAAGCAGCGCCCCCATTGTGACGATGATAACAAGTTTTCTTATCACTAAGTTTGTTATCTTAAATATTATTTATCAAAAGTAAGATTATCTCAGGATGACACGGCAATTTATTTGCGACAAGAATAATGATACAATTCCAAGGCGAAGATACTATTCCTTTAACTTCCAATTACCGAG